GCTAAGGTAAAGAAGCCTCTGTAACATTCTCTTTTGTAATTGCAATTGTGCAAGTAATTACGTTTTTGATTTAGGACCAGTATTGCCTTACTCTCGTGGTTAGGTGTGTTCCTCTAAGTCTTCGTACCAATATGACCAAGTTGCGAAAACAAGGTCAAACAAAATCCAAACTATTCTTTTGTTAATGTATGCTTTCGATACTAAAGGTGAATAATGAGATGCATTCATCCTATTTCTTATAAATTAATGAAAGATTGATGGTAGAACATTCTCACACTTTTATGAGTAGATATCATTATAGAGCTCACCAACTCAACCAGACTTTCTTTAGCGAATACACAAATCCATTACATATTTTCTTTTAATATACTGTAATTACCCAGAACTGAGTTTATAATATGTTCTAGCTACGCATTTTGATCCCCTAAATCACACATGCGGCAATGTCAAAAAATTCGAAAATAAAATGAATTACATAAACAGGGATTAATAAGTCATGCAGTATCTCTTTAAAACATGGATTCAATGTTGTTTTCGCAACTTGTTCAATGTCATATGCCGCAGTAACCATAATAACTGGATGGATATCGCTTGCCTCATTGCCGAGTTTAAGCTTGGTGGCGAACGTAGCAAGATTCGATCACGATGCCAACAAGTGGTGTGAATGTACGAAGTCCACTATCCGACTACGAACATAATCAAGTCAGGACAGTAAACTACAGAGGTGAATACATCTATTTCATCTTGATAACATTAACAAGTTCCCAAAACGAGATCAAACCACTTTTAAACACTGAAAAAATGCAAAGAAAATAGATGCCACACCATCTTGGTTGTCATAGCTTCGCTTAAAGTATAGGCCCCTTTATGCAATCATATTATGCTCTGGTGATTATATTGAGCTAGTAAAAAACTCCAGTAGGTTTTGCCTATGCCTTTTAATGATAGGATCTTGCTATGACAGAAGCCCAATCATTTTTTTCTCAATGAAAGACAACTAAAGGAGTATCTAAACTCGAACAGAGAAGGAAAATCCCCAGAATGCATAAATTAGAAGTGACCAAAATCAAGCCTTTTAATTCAGAAAAGAACAAAAAAAACGAGAGATGGTTTGGTATCCAGTTTCACCTAATGTATACTTTTGCCATTTTTCCGAAAATAATGAATAATTAAATATTAAAATGAATTGAAGGATTAAGTATGCATTACCTGATATTGAAAGTTAACATTATCTGGCCGAGTCGTTTCAACAACCCCAGCAACTTTGTCTACCTTAGCCGGAAGGCGACCATTTGAGATGTATCGAGATAGTTCTGAATCCAAATAGCTCTTGGTAACCCCAAATGTAGTAGCCATGCTATCTAAAGAAATGCTACTATATGAGTCTAAATGTTGCTGGTATGCTCTGAGACGCATTTCACGGACATAATAACGGGCATGAGGAGATAAATAGCGATCAGATAGCATATATTGCTCCATACCGGCTGAAAATAAAGTCAAAAACTTATGGCACAATTATTATTAAGCGAATTATTAGAAAAGAATAAATCGCGATTTAAAACTCACCAGAATGAATTTAAATATAACGGAATTATATATATATATAGGTGATTGAGTCTCCCAAGTGGCATATGGGTAAAAATAATTTAAATATCTAAATAATCTGTAGCTAATTATATTATCATAACCAAAGTGAAATGAGAGAACCAAATGGTAAAAACACAAGAATAATTAACATACCTAAGTAAACAAAGAAAGTTGAATATCGGCATTCGAACAAGGACAATAGAAATTCCCTAACTTTAGGCAGCCCGTAGAGCACCTCTTGTATTTCGGATCCGCGAACAACCTAAAGATAAAATTGAAATGATTAATATTTTCATAAGACAAATATTCAAACAAAAAATAACACTATTTATTATTTAAAAACTATACAATTTACTTAAAGGCCAGAAAACGTGAGAAGATTAAGGTTTATACATAAAATAAGGTAAAAGAAAATCTACTCTATAATAATAAATATAATTTTCATCAGTTTCAATAAGGGTGCATTTCAATTCACAATAGTTAATTCAGCGAATTTACAGTTTGTTGTAGTAGTAAGCATAATTGAAGCATAAATATTTGTAAGAGAAATATGTCAAGTTAAACTTCAGCTAGAATAAATCATTAATAATACAAATATCATATAAGCCATCAGTGGATATACATTAGAAGCATAATAGTAGCAACAATTCTGTGGCTGTTCAAGATATCTATAAAAATTTACATAAAAATCAGCTTTGTATAACTAATTAAATAAGCAGAAAATAAAAAACTCTTCGTAAGGATCATTTATGCAAATAGAGTAACAAAGCAAAACAAAAACTCAAG